ATCCACATTAGAATAGTGGTAATTGTTAGTATCCCACATTGGATTAGTAGTCATTTTATCTATCCCAATACAATATCTAGTAATTTAATGATCCTACTTTGAGTTACTTGTAATTGGGAAAGGAAATATATATATATATATATATATATATATATATATATATATATATAATTATTTATTCGAAAATTATAAATAGCCATTTGTTTCAATTTTTCTGATGTCTTATCAATATTGATGATGTTGAATGTAGAATAGATTCTATTCTACATTCAACATCATCACTTGATAAGACATCAGAGGTGTTGAAACAATATGAGTATTTTTGTAGTGATTTTATAACATATTTATGTTATAATTTTCGAATAAATAATTATATTTGCTCTACTCTGTATTGAGCACTGTTTTAAGAATAGTATTTGTTTGTTATTGGAATTTATTCCGTATACACCAATCCTATACTTGGCTATATATATATATATATATATATATATATATATATATATATATATTGCCCTGAACCTCTATTGACTGTTGAAAATTACAGAAAGTACTTTTAATATATTCTTACCTTAGAAATATGGAACACCTTTGCTTCAATGCCCAAATGTAATGGGTGTACTTTTTATTCTATTCTATTTTATTTGTAATTCACTAGCCATTTCAATATAGAAGATCGAAACCTTTACTTGTCCAGTGAATTTTCTCTCAGAACGACTCGCCTCATTTTTTTTCTTTTTATGTGCCGTGTCTCTTCAGAACGTAAGCGATCATGGCTCTCCACTTCTCCCTATCCTTTGTAGCTCTCAATAAATTTTGTTCCTTTGCTACATCCCCAAGGCTTTGTTCTGTCATCCACTTGCTTAAGCCCGCTAGGTATATCATGCGTTGCTTCCCCTTGTCTCTTTGTGAGTATCAGATTCTCCAAGCCAAGCCGTGTTACAGAAATTTCAGTTACCTCTTCCTGATGTTAAGTATACGCTTCCTCCTTGTTTGCATCCTCTCTAAGACCTCATCATTGCTCACACACTCGGTCTATGATATCCTTAGCATCCTTCTGTAGAACCATACCTCTGTTGCTTCTAGTCCCTTCTTCATCTTTGAGGAGACTGTTTAACATTCGCTGCCGTAAAGGGGGACAAATGTCACGTAGCAGCTTAGTACTCTTTTCTTTGTTACTAAAGAAATCCTTCTGTCTCGTAATACGTTGTATAGCTTTTGAAATGCGTCTTTGACCATCCCAATATGTCTTCGCATCTCAGCGTCTCACGTAACGTCCTCTGTCAAAACACTTTCCAGATATTTAAATATCCGCATCTTCTTGGTTTTAGTGTCCACGACCTGTAAATCGTATCTCGGTCTCGTTTTTTTTACTGATGACCATACATCCTGTCTTCTTGTAGTTTATGCTTAGTCCCTTCTTCTCACAACCATGTCATATTTGGACCGAAGTTAGTCAATCCTCATTTTCCAGACCTAACAGAGTTCAAAAGTGTCTTCGCTTCCTTTTAGTTGATTAATTATTTTCCACTCGACAACCACTTTCCCCATAGAAGAAACGTCGTCTTGGTATTTTTCGCCGACAAACCTCTCCTTGGTATTTTTCGCCGACAAAACTAACCTGGCCATTTGTCTTGAAACAATCTACACAATCTAATATATATATATATGTGTGTGTGTGTGGTGTGTGTGTGTGTGTGTGTGTGTGTGTGTGTGTGCGTGTGCGTATATATATATATATATATATATATATATATATATATATATTATACGCGCGGTACTTAGTTGAAAGCGCTTAAAAACATCATAGGTTGTATGGATATGAGTTTATGACCCTGGGTTTCAAGCTTTTGCGATCATCAGACAAAGTGGTTTATTTTTTAAAATGGGATTTATTTATGCTTATTTGACTATGTTCGGTGGCGGGAGGGGCAATATAGTTCTGTGTTTGTTTAGGGTGGTACTATCATACGCATAGACACATACATACAGGTATGCACATTTTCAGATCACAGCTATTATCACTACCGGCATAATCACAACCGTCAACAACACACAAGCAGTTAGCGTTGAAAATACAAACATCACCATCACCATAACCACAAAAAGAACCCAGCTTAGCCAAAGTTGTGGTGAAAAGGCACAGATCAATGATAGTGTATGTGCACATCTACACATGTGTGTATGTGTGTGTGAGGAAGTATAAGTTCCTCTGGCGGCCCATGCAATAGATCTGAAAAGTGTCAAGAACACACTTACTCGCTCCTTGTTGAAACGAACATCGCTACACATAAAAAGCTAAGGTTCCGACACCAAAATAGAATTACAATTACGTGTGTTGGTGTGAACTAAAATGGGTACACCTGTATGTATGTGTTTATGCGTATTATAGTACCACCCCAAACAAACACAGAAGTATATTCCACTTCCCGCCACCAAAACAAGCATAAATAGATCCAATTTTAAAATTTAAACCGACGTTAGCAATGTTAATGTGATTAATGGCGAAATCACTTCGCTAACAAAACTTAATGAGACCTTAACTTACTATCAATTCCTTGTTTGTCTGACGATCGTGTATATGCAGGCGTGTAAGCTCTGAACGATTTATACATGTCCACTGCAAGGCATATCGTGTTTTATTGCGATATATCTATCCTAGGATATGTGTTGTGGTGTAATGGATATCGGCTCGGAATGAGAAATCTGAGAGCCGAGTTCGAATTCCAGTGCAGTTTGTTATATTCACTTATGCATAAATACCCTTGTATGAATCCATCTCTTCTCCCCGCCCCCAGCTATGGGTTAAATAGCAGGGCAGACAGTTCTTTAGCCTTGTTCGGCAGCTAGTCTACCACAGAAAGAAATGATAACTTACTGCGGGAAAAATTTTCTGCCTCGTCAGTCATATATCGAAATATGCGTGATCGCCCAAGCGTGTATCCTGTGTGGAACATAACTTACTGAAGTATCCTATTAAGATTTTACTTGTCCTTCCTTTCGTTAGTTCAAACGACCGTTACGTTCAACCAATGCCTGATAAATAATAAATTATTCCGTTGTGATCGCGTCGACAGAGGAAAAAAGACGCAACTTGGTTTCAGTGAGAAAATAGAAACAAGAAATAAAGAAAGACAGAAGTGGAGAGACAGAATCAAATTAAACTGATAAGAACAGATACTACACTTTGATCTAAGCTAAAAGGCCGAGAATCGATGTTTACTCGTTCCCCACGAGGACGAGATGTGACACAAGGTCATTTTAAAGTGGGGACCCGAGCGCGTACACCCGGGCAAGGGACAAAAATTTCCCACAGCCACCGCAACCGTCGGTTACGCTGGCCTCGATGCGAGCACCGATACCTACCTCTCGTGCAATGGGAGGGTGCGACCTCGGGTAGCACTTCCCCAGGCCTGGGGTACCTCTCAGTATAATTTTCTCAGTTGCCCCTCTGTCCTTTGACAGAGAAGCCTCTGAGCGCACTCTGCCCAAAGACAGAGACGCAACTGAGAGATGATAAGCCATTTTAGCACAAAAGGACGAGAATCGATAGTATTTTCTTGCTGGGAGAATGTGACATAAGATCAATTTAATGTGGGAAGTCCGAGCGTGTGCCATACGTGCACGGTCAAAAAATAACCCAACCCACACTCCGAAACTTCGGTTGCGCTGGCATCATCATTACTACCGAACCCCTCTCTAGTGCGATGAGGGAGGTACTGCTGCGGGCAGTTGTTTACCTAGACCGGGCACCTATCCATAATATTTTCATTTGCGCTCTGTCCGTAGACAGAGACAGAACAGAGATGAAATGTAATTTATCTTCCGAGGGCAGATATTACAACTCCATCTTAGCCAAAAGATCGAGAAGCGATTGTATTTTCTTGTCGCCCCATACAGGCAGGATGTGACTCAAGGTCATCTTAATCTAAAAAAAAAAAAGGCCGAGAAGCCATGACAACCACGATAAAAGTGCAATTTTTCAAACGCACCGTATCGAACGACGGGAACCGAGTAAGGCAATCGCCAAAAATCCAGTTACCATAAATGTTGTGGTGTTCTCCTTCTAAAGAGTCTATGTTGGACTCTTCCGCCTACTATAAGAATAGTAGGTGAGAAGGCCTTGTTGGAACAGTCGAATAGATCTGTTCCAGCTGTGCTGGTCAAACTCTCTGTCTCCGGCCAGAGAGGAATCCCAGACGTGGCTATATCGAAGGGCAGAGTCTCGCCTCGGGAAACAGCTACTCGACCCCGTTTTATACGGGGTCTTATAGGGAATTTTTGGCCAAGACTACGGGGTCGGATTGCCCCACATTAAACTCCGCCTTGTACCACATCTTACCTCGTGGGGAGGCTGGTAAATATAACAGTCGAATAGATTGAACGCTGGGTCATCCGACACACACTCACTAGTCTTGTAATACTCTGTTGTTGTATTTACTGTTTAATGATATATCGGCAACACTAGTCTTCTTATTTCTTTAACCATTTACTTGGTCACAACAATAAATAAAATAAAATCGTGCGCTGAATTATTTTAAAATTTTTATTAAGGGAAATGTTCGTAAGCCGGGGAGTTGGCTAGTAGGTAATAAATTCTACAAGGAGGCATTCCAGAACAAATATTGAGGCTTGATCTTTTGGAGAGATTTTTAGAAGTCGCTCGAGATTTCCAGCGCCTCTCGGAAAAATACAAGGATTCCCAAAGAATCTCAAACCAAAAGAAGTAACACTCAGGGTCCATAGAAACAACGTCGGTTTTTAGATCCAGATAATTGTATATAGCTGAAGAGACAAGGCCTGTGAAGTGATAAAGGCCGAGAGAAGAAGAAGGTAAAAGGCAAAGGGGTAGAGAACAAGGGAAAGGAAAATAGAGAGAAAGAAAAGACACACAGAAAGAACTAGAACGAGAGATATAGAAAAAGAGAGGGTAAGAGAACAAGAAATAAAAAGAGAGAAAGAGAGCTAAAGAGAAAAATAGAGAAAGAGGAAGTGAGAAAAACGGAGAGAGAGAGAGAGAGAGAGAGAGAGAAAGAGAGAGAGAAAAAAGAGAAAAAGAATGACACAAAAAAAGAGAAAAACAGAGAGAAACGAGACGATAGATAGAGTGAGACTGAAAAGATTGGGAAAAGAACCAAAGAGAGAAAGAGAAAGAAAGAGGAAGAGAAACAAAGAGAGAAAGAGATAGAAAAAAGAAGAGAATCAAGAAAGAGAGAAAGAGAAAGAAAAAGGAAGAGATCAAGAAAGAGAGAAAGAGAAAGAAAGAGGAAGAGAATCAAGAAAGAGAAAGAAAGAGGAAGAGAATTGAGAAAGAGAGAAAGAGAAAGAAAGAGGAAGAGAATCAAGAAAGAGAGAAAGAGAAAGAAAGAGGAAGAGAATCAAGAAAGAGAGAAAGAGAAAGAAAGAGGAAGAGAATCAAGAAAGAGAGAAAGAAAGAAGAAAGAGGAAGAGAATTGAAGAGAAAGAGAAAGAAAAAAGGAAGAGAAAAAAGAAGAATAAAGAGAAAAAAAAGAAAGAATTGAGAAAGAGAAAGAGAAAGAAAAGGAAGAGAATCAAGAAAAAGAGAAAGAGAAAGAAAAAAAAGGAAATTGAGAAAAAAGAAAGAGAAAGAAAGAAAGGAAGAGAAAACAAGAAAAGAGAAAGAAAAAGAAAAAAAGAGAATCAAGAAAGAAAAAGAAAGAGGAAGAAAAGAGGAAGAGAATCAAGAAAGAGAGAAAGAGAAACAAAGAGGAAGAGAATCAAGAAAGAGAGAAAGAGAAAAAAGAGGAAGAGAATCAAGAAAGAGAGAAAGAGAAACAAAGAGGAAAACAATCGAGAAAGAGAGAAAGAGAAAAAAGAGCAAGAGAATCAAGAAAGAGAGAAAGAGAGAAAGAGAAAGAAAGAGGAAGGGAATCAAGAAAGAGAGAAAGAGAAACAAAGAGGAAGAGAATCAAGAAAGAGAGAAAGAGAAACAAAGAGGAAGAGAATCGAGAAAGAGAGAAAGAGAAAAAAGAGGAAGAGAAACAAAAAGACAAAGAGAAAGAAAGAGCAAGAGAATCAAGAAAGGGAAAGAAAGTAGAAAAGAACCAAAGAGAGAAAGAAAAAGGAAGAGAACCAAAGACGGAAAGAGAAAGAAAGATGATAAAAGTAAAAAAGAAGAAAACGGAAAAAATACAGTGAGAAAGAGGAACTGAGTTAGAGGGAGAACGAGAGAGAGAGAGGGAAAGATATGGAAGAGAACACGAGAGAAAATGAGCGAAAGAGAGATAGCGAAAGTGGAAGCGAACGACAGATTAAGAGGAAGTGAGAGAGAAAGAGAACGAAGAGAAACAGAGATGAAAAGAAAAAGAGAGAGAAATAGATTGAAAGAGAAAGCGAATGAGAAAGAAAGTCTAAGCGAGAAAGAGAAAGAGAATAAGAAAAATATAAAGAGAGAGAAAGAGAAAACGAGACAGAATGATAAAGAATGCGAAAGCGAGATAGATATAGAGGGAAAGAAAGAGAACGAGAGACAGAGACTGAAAAGTGAGAAAGAGAGCGAAAGGGAAGGAGAACGAGAGAAATAGAAAGAAAGAAAGAAAGAAAGAAAGAAAGAAAGAAAGAAAGAAAAGAACAGAAGCTAAACAGAGATAGATATATAGCGAAAAAACAGATAAAGAGACAGAGAAAAAAGAGAGAAAAAGACAAGGATGTGATCGAGGAAGAAAGGGAGAAAGAGAAGAAGAGAGAAAGGAGAAAGTGATGGAAAGAAAGATAACTGGAAAGGTGAAGAGAGAGAGAGAGAGAGAGAGAAATGGCTGCCGACTAAATGTAAATCAAGTTTACTCTTTTTCCCGAACAGCGGTATACCGACGTCGATTAATAATCAATAAATCGATCGATTCACTCTCTTCCGAAATGACTGAACCCTACAACTGCTTCTCTCCCCTCCCCCTGCGCGCGCGTTTGTGTGTGTGTGTGTCTGTGTATGTCTGTGTTTTACTCGCACACTCATGAACACGCGCAGATGAAAAAGCTCACGTGCGGATGCACATGTAAGTGCGTGATGACATTTATTTCGGTTTGCAGAAACATGGGTAGATCTCATGGGATTTATTCAAATCTCGTCAGAGACGAGACTATAAATCCACATGTGCCTCGTCGAAGCAACTGAACTAACGAAGATACGATCCTCATATATAAAAATACATTACGAACAAAAAAAAAACAATGATTTGATTCACACACGTGCACACACATGAAGCCGAGCGTGTTTTGCGCTCTATAGCACGCTCTGGTGTATAATACGCACTTGGCGGTTGGCAGGAAAAATTTTAAAAACATTAATCAAACGATGCTTCATATGTGTCGTTGTTCATTATGTTTCCGCGTCTTATAATCTTTTTAATCATAAATCAGCACTGGACAAAATGGCAAAGGAAAGAAGGCAACATATCTAGAAAGTATTAAGATGTTGACAGCCTAAGATGATTAAGAATATTAGTCATCAGCAAACGAGATCATCCTAAAGAAATTTGGACATGAAAAAAAAAAAGAATGGATCTTAGATTAAATCCTCAACTTGATGAAAGCAGTAAGCAAACAATGCCAGGGTATGGCATAGAATAAAGGACATCACGCAAATTATTTTAAAAATGCATGCAGGCAAAAAAGGAATGGCTCAACGAAAAGTACATTATTTACATTATTCGGACTTTTGTCCTCATCTTTGTCGCCATATTTATTACAACGTTTCGGCCGTTGTACGCTCCGGCCTACTTCAGGTGGTTGTAATGTCAAACTGAACTCTTTATTTCGCTCACTGGGGTAGACTGTTCTAGTTCCACGTGTCATATTTAATGGATGTCAGTTATCAGCGCCAGAAAATTTTTTCTCGCCCGAGTCCATCCTTCAAATCTATAAATCAACCATTCGTCCTTGCATGGAATACTGCTGCCATATAAGGTCTGGAGCCCTCGCTGTTCGTCTTAGGGTCCTCGACAAAATCCAGAGACGGATATGCAATGTGGTTGGTACTGATCTGGCATCTCGTGTACAGCGGCTTTCTCACAGACGTACCGTCGCTTCTCTCTGTCTTTTCTACTTTCACCGTAACTGCTCCGACGAGTTAATTTCGCTGGTTCCCAAACTGCACGAATTTAAACGTGTCACTAGGTCGGCATTTCTGTCCCACCCATTCACTGTCTAATCGGTTAAATGTGGTCGTCTTTTCTACTCCAATAGCTTCATGTCTCGCACTTCCCGGCTGTGAAACTACCTTCCCTCTTACTTGCTTCACTGATAGCTATAATCTTCAACTATTCAAACGCAATGTCAATCGACATTTCCAGATGCCTTGATCTATTCCCCGTTTTTCACTTCATCCTTTCCTCTTTCACGCCTCTTTACTCTTTCTGCCACTCTCTGTAACCCATTGCTTGCTAGTGGCACAAAAATGCCTTGAATTGAGGTGAAATATATATATATATATATATATATATATATATATATATATATATATATATACAGCATATTTTCGTTCAGCAACACCGACGATGACGAGAAGGCTTACGTTTCACTTGAACGATCATAGTTGAGTCTCAGAACATTTAAAGGTTCCTCATGTCCACATGCACATTTTAGACATATATTATTCGAAAATACATCAGTGCTTTATCAAGATAGTATAAGCAAAAATTTAAAATTCTGGAAGCTATTTGTATAAGAGAATTGCTGCCAAAAGTAAAATGAACTATAAGTATAGCAACAAAGTTCTTAAATGTTTGTAGCAGCAAAGTGTTATATAAAAATACTAAATTAAAATACTGTAATTAAAAAAATTTTTTAAAGAAATTAAAATGTCACATAAGTTACCTCCCTTGGATAGAGGTAAAAAATATTTTGAATTTACGGTGATAGATATGCAACCCTTGATTTGAGAGAAAATTTTGGAATTTTTCTTAATCAATTTTCTACAGCTACAAAGAAATTAATTCGTGAACTTGAAAGAATTTAAAGTGAAATAAATAGATATAATACGCGTAAATTATTTAACCAAACATGCTTGACTATATACATATATATATATATATATATATATATATATATATATATATATATTACTATGAACAAGTAAATGGTTAAGTAATAACAAAAACCAGGTTTGCAGATATATCGTATATTAAACAGTAAATACACCAGAAGAGTATTACACCACAAGTAAGGGTGTATCGTATGAACTAGCGCTCAATCTATTCACTGTTACGAGGTATGTATGTAGCAAAACCTGGTTTATTGTGGGTACCCCAAGCCCGTAGGCTCGGCCCCCAAAATTCCCTTTGAACGGGTTCAGGGCCTATCTACCTCCCCGGACGAAACTTTGACCTTCAGCAAAGCTTCGTCCGAGTTCCTCTCTGCCGAAGCAGAGATTTCGACAGAAATGAACAGTCTGTGCGACTGCTATATTTAACAAGGAATGTATGTGGCACAAGGCTGAGTTTAACATGGGTTTCTCCGAGTCCGTAGGCTCGACCAAAAATATTCCCTTCGAACCCGCCTAGACGGGTTCAGGGCCTGTCTACCTCCCCGGACGAAACTTTGACCTTCGGCAAAGCTTCGTCCGAGTTCCTCTCTGCCGAGGCAGAGAGTTGGACAGTTGAATAATCTGTGCGACTTTGTCAATTATTTGCCCCAAATATTTAATCCTCTCTAAGAAAAAAAATCACACTTCCCATCTTTTACTTTGAATCCGTAATCCTGGATTCTACTGAACACCCATCAAACGTGCGATTTGTGTTCCTCGATGCCCTCACTTTTCATTAAGACGTCATCGAGATAGGCCACCGCAAATCCAGACCATTTAACATCGTGTCCATGACCTGTTGAAAAATGGAAGCGGCAACCTTAACCTCGAACGGAAGTCTTAAAAATTTGTATAAACACTTGTTTATTTAAAGGAGCTTCGAGCATTCCTCGTCCATGGGTATTTGTAGATATGCGTCGCTTAAGTCAATCTTAGAAAAATATTTTCCTCCACTGAGCTTAGCGAATACCTCCTCTGGACTTGGGAGGGGATAATGATGATCCTTTAGGGTACTGTTCAGCCCTGTAGAGAATCAGCACAGACACGAATTTCTTTACTCTTTTTTTTTTAATATAAACTGTGGGAGATTCCCATTCCCTATATCCGACCTTTGCCAGAAATCCCAGAAATTGACTCATTGCACGTTCGCAGGCTAACGTTCTTAGCTGAAATGAGGTGGAAAAAACTACATTGAACCCATCGCTAGATAATTGCTAAGAAAGTCGGTTTACTGTTGGGCAAGACAATTTTTCTCTTCGGAATCTATCTTACATATCTATAAGTCTACCATTCGTCCATGCTAAGAATATTGCGACCATATATGGTCTGCTGCCGTCGCGATTTTCCTGGAGCTCCTTCATAAAATCCAAAGAAGAATCAGCAATTTTATAGGTCCTTATCTGGTGGCTCGGCTTCAGACACTTTCCAACCGCCGTAAGGTTGCCTCTATATGCCTTTGCTATAAATATATTAATGGTAATTGTTTGGAAGAGCACTTCGCTTTGGTACCAAGATTTATTTTTTTAATTTAAAGGCAATACTAGACTGGCGTCAAGATCTCATCAAGTTACAGTTGAGCTGGCGAGATGTATCCGTAAGTTCTATTCTAACAGTTTCCTTTCCCCCACTTCTCACATGTGGAACTCCCTTCCAGCTCCATGCTCTCCAGCCAACTTTAATCTTCAAACATTCAAATGTAATGTCAATGGCTATCTACTGTCCACCTGATTACTCAGTTGTCTTTCTGCTCATCATTAATGTTTCTGTCCCTAATTCTTCCACACGCTGTACCCACTTTGGTTTGAGTGGTATTATCGCTTTGCATGGGGTGATTCTGATTAAAAATAAAAATAAAAAAAGATAGATTCAATAAAACTTGTATAAAAGTGGGGTTGTATCCCAAATACACAATTATAGATAGATAGATAGATAGATATTAACATATTTAGATAGATAGATAGATAGATAGATAGATAGATAGATAGATAGATATGAACATATTTAGGTAGATAGATTCAATAAAACTAACATCAAATTGTTACATGCGTAAATGCACAATTATATATATATATATATATATATATATATATATATATATATATATATATATAGAGAGAGAGAGAGAGAGTATATAAAGTTGCTGCATCCCAAATACACAATTATATATATTTAGATTGATATATACAAATTTCAGGAATGTATAATATACACCAATATATTTAATAATCAAGCAAATTCTAAAATATACTTTAGAATATTTAAATATACTTTAAAATACACAATTATATATAGATAGATAGATAGATATGAACACATTTAGGTAGATAGATTCAATAAAACTGGCATCAAGGCGGCGTTGCAGCGTAAATGCACAATTATATATATAGAGAGATAGATAGATAGATAGATAGATAGATAGAGCGAGAGAAAATTTGTATAAAGGTGTTGAATCCCAAGTACAAAATTATACAAATATTTAGATACATATATAGAGCGGGAGATAGATACACAATATAGTTAATAAGTAAACACCCACATGAACGTTAAGTAAATTCTAAAATACACTTTTTTATATATATATATATATATATATATATATATATATATATATATATATATATATATATATATATATATATATATATATGTATGTATGTATGTATAGATAGATAGACATTTGTATCTTCTGACCTTGTGTTCAAGTACACCTTCCATAATTAGAATGTTATTTCGGGTAAAAAAAATAAATTATAGACCGCCTCGCAAAATTCCGCGTAAAAAACTAATTTGTTTTCCTTCGATAGAAGCCAAAGACGAACAGAGAACGAACGGAAGGCACTTCATTCATTGTTGGTCGCTCGGAAAAGTCTCAAAGGCGTAACAACGTTGAAATTTGATTTGTATGATCAGATCTTTTTAAATCGTTCTTTAAATCAGTTAAGGGCGAAAAGTCAGGATGATATACAATTACATGGCATACCGATCAGTACCAATCTATATTGAGCGTAAAGGT